AAGCTGCTAAATCTTGTGTTATCCTGATTGTGTTTCCACCATACCTGAATTGTTTCTTTCTGGCTGCTTGCAATATTTTCTCCTTAACCTGGGAACTCCGGAATTTGGCTACAATATTCCTAGGACTTTTCCTTTGGGGATCTCTTTCAGGGGGAGATTGGTGGATTCTTCCAAAAATATCAGGGCAGTTTTCCTTGATAATTTCTTGAAAGATGATGTCCAGGCTCTTGTTTTGATCATGGCTTTCAGGTAGTCCAAGAATTTTTAAATTCTGTCTCCTGGATCTATTTTCCAGGTTAGTTGTTTTTCCAATGAGACACTTCACATTGTTTCCGAATTTTACAGTGTTTTGGATTTGTTCTACTGTGTCTTGATTTCTCATTAAAAAAAATCTTCCAATTGTTGTATTCTAACTTTTAAGGAAGTATTTTCTGCAGTAAGCATTTGGACTTCCTTTTCCATTTGGCCAGTTTTGCTTTTTAGGGCATTCTTCTCCTTGTTGGCTTTTTGGACCTCTTTTGTCATTTGGGTTAGGCTATTTTTTAAGATGTTATTTTCTTCAGCAGGTTTTTGGATCTTCTTTTGCAAGCTGTTGACTTGTTTTTCAGGATTTTCTTGCAACACTTTCATTTCTCTTCCCAGTTTTTCCTCTACTTCTCTTACTTGCTTCTCAAAATCCCTTTTGAGCTCTTCCAAGGCCTGGAACAGATTTACATTTTTGTTGGAGGCTTTGGATATGGGAGCTTTGACTTTGTTGTCTTCTTCTGGTTGTATGTTTTGATCTTCTTTGTCACCAAAATAAGATAATATAATCTGACTCTTCTTGGAAGGTTTGCTCATGATCCCAGCCAACTACTTGAGTTTTAAACTCTTTGTTAAGGTAAGAGTCTGTTTCCATCACGGAGACTGCTTCCAGTGTGGAGAATGTACTGCCCCAAGCTTTGGGGGTTTGCATAGCTGTTTTCAGAGATACTTCTAGGACCTGTAAATTTTCAGTTCTTCCAACGTGGTATGATAAGGGGCGAGATGTTTACTCTTTTCCTGGCCTGTGCTCTGGTCTTTCAGTGACTGGCCACAAGCAGTCTTTTTTCTCTTGGATCTGTGAGGAGGGTTTCCTCAGGACTACAAGCTCCACCGCGCCAGTGCTCTTCCTCACCCCATGACTGCCACCCAGAACTGTGACCTAGATCCAAGCATGGGCAAAGCAAGAGATTCCTGCCTCAGCACCAGCAGAGATCCCCGCAGTCCCCCTCTGATCAGCCACTTGATTCCCCCTCAGTCTGTGGGCCAGAAGCTCGGGATGCAGCGAGTGCCCCAGTGTCCATGCTCTGCACTCTGTGCTCTGGAACTGACTCTGACCTAGCTCCTCTCTCACCTCAAAAACCAACTTTTCCCACTGACCTTCTAAGTTGTCTTTAACTTTTGTGGATTGAGGAGTCTGGAAACCTCCACAGCTGCCTGTGATTCCTTCCTCTGAGTCCTGCTCCAGGTTCACTGAGGCATGGGAGCCCACACTGAACTCCACTCCTTTCCCTGCCCAATGTGATATGCCTTTCTGATCAACCATCCAGGATGTCTTGGGCTGGAAATTTGTTTTACTCTGTCTTTTTGTGGCTTCTGCTGCTTTAGAATTTGTTTAGAGCCATTTTTTATGGGTGTTTGGAGGACTTTGGGGGAGAGGCCAAGCAAGTCACTGCTTTCACGCCACCATCTTGGCTCTGCCCCGGCATATAACTTTTAAGAAAATATTTGGGGGATGGTTTCAGAGAAACCTGGGAAGACTTTTGATAATCAGAGTAAATGGTCAGTAAAAGAGCACAGTGCAAGTATGTGAGATCTTGTTTTCAATCTGAATATGCATTAATTCCATATTCCAAAGCTATGAGGTAAATTAGTTCTTGGGCTTGTCATCAGCCTGCTAATGCATACACAGTCTTGTATAACATTGAATCCTTGAAATAGTTCATTCTTTCAGCATAATATGGGAATAATTAGGCAAAGATAAAATAAGATCCTTAAATGTTTCAAAATGATGTAAGATTAATTGGGTACTGGTACAAGTGATTGAGGAACCTGTCATTCTATTAATTACTGAAATTAAATCAGAAACATCTTCAGTTTGGTTTGTGGAAGTAAATTTCAGTGCAATCAATTTTCTTAGAGGCATATAACTCATGGAATATTTTGTGTCACATTAATGGAAAAGTAATTTTCATTGAAGTTTATTACTAACGTGGAATTAACACCTGTTTATATTGCATGTCCTGTAGTACAAACATGTTTTATTATAAAGATCTTCTTGATATGTACTGTTTTGGAGTTAAATATTCTCCCAATTTTGTTATTATAACTGGAATAAAGTCAGCCCCTTATAAGTAAATTCATTTGTATAACTATTGAACCCAGGGGTGGAAAGCTTCTATATGCAAGAGTGTTGTTAATTCAATTTTCATGTATAGGATTGAATCCTCATAACATGTGATCTTCCTAAAGGAATTGGAATCAGAGTGGATACTTTTGAGAAAGTGACAAGATCAGACAGTGCTGTATGTCAAAAACAGGTGATTTTAATGGGGCATGTGAAAAAAAAAAGACAACCTAAATTTTCTGAAGCTTCAAGTAAACTCTGGGTTCCTTCTTGCATGTTCCCACTTATAGTTCTATTGTTAAGATCAAAATCTAAATTTTAGTTGGTTTCCACAGCATGAACTAGTTATTTAAGAAGTAAAATTTGACAAGCTGCACTAATTTGTATTGAAATCTGTTTTGCAAAAGATTTTAGCAAGAACAGCTAAGGAGTCACTTCAAGTAACCAGGAACTGGAACAACTGTACCAAAGGTTTGACATTCTCTAGATGGCCCGAAGAAAAGATGTTCCAGAGACCAGACAACAATATGGGACATCTGGATTCCAAGATAACGTTTACCAGTTAAATGTACATTGGGAGTGAGTTGATGGTCATCACCGTACAAGTCTCCCCTTGACAAAACAAGGGGGATTGAGAAAATAAAATTGTTCTGATACTGTTCTCTGTCACCCCAATATGCTGTAAAACTGCCCAAGCCATGTTTACGTGTCTCTGAACCAAGTTTAGAAATTCAGCTCACCCATTAATCTCAAATGCCATTCATTCTTCCTTCATCTCCCCATGGGTGGGATGGAAGAAAATTGTAACCACTGCCATCAGGGGCAGCTAGGTGGTGCAGTGGATAGAGCACTGGTCTGGAGTCAGGAAGATCTGAGTTCAAATCCAGTCTCAGAGCAGACACTTGACAGAGCAGTCTGACCTTGGGCAAGTCACTTAGCTCCAACTGCTTGGCAAAAAAAAAATGCCATCAGCTCTCATCTGCAGTATCATTTAACTTACAAAGAGCTTCACACACAATAACACTGGATGTTCACAAGAGAACTACAATCCAGTGAGGGCAGGCTTCTCATTACACTTCACACCTCAGGCCATGAGCTCAGAATGACTGAGTGACCTGACCCAATATCCTGCAGCTGAGACTAGAACTCAAACCCTGTGAGGGTGGTGTTCTTTCCATAGCACTAGATGACCTCTCTCCATTGCACTTTCAATACTTTCTTCAAATGCCTTTTAATTTTTGTTTCTTTTTCTTTTGTCAGTCTTAGATAATCTTCCTGCTTTTCTGTACTGATTGGTTTTGATGCACTATCCCATGGTCATTCTATGTAAAATTCATATACGAATGAGAAATAGGTTTACTCTTTTTAATTGTCATGTACTATTATTTAGTATTATATCCACTTTTCTTATACTCTGTTAAGACTGATATTTTGCTGTTTGATGCACATATAGTAAATGTTCACATTACTTCATCATTAAGCATAATAATTTAACTGGAAAACTCTTTTAATCTTATTTTTTTTTCTGTTGCCATGTCTGAGACCCCAACATGACTGCGAAACATTTTTTCCAGTTCCCTGGGGTATAATAGATACTGTTTTGGCCCATCACTACTTTAGGACAGCCATTATCCATTTACTCTTCAAAATTTACCTTCACTGATTTCAATCTGTCATCAGCAGGCATACAGTGATTTCCGTGTTCACACCGTGATGATACTAAACTCGGACCACTTCTGACTAAGTGTAACAAATTCTTTTGGTTTCTTAACCTGAGATCAAATTTTTTCCAAATTGCCAGAAAGGTCGGACGTGCAAGTGCAAACATTCACAATGGATGGATCCAGTCTTCTCTCCACTACGAATCCCTGATGTAAAGGAACAGATCTCTGCTAAAGGCATTCTCACACTGAGTCCTTGGAGGGCTTGTTCCTAAGATGAATTTTCTGGAGTCTAACAAGCTCTATAGACCATCTGAATGACTTTCCACATTCATTATAATAATATGATTTCAATCTCATGGAAATTCTCTGACGGGAAAAAAGATATGACTTTAGCCTGAACGCTTTTTTGTATTGATTATATTAACAAGGTATATCCTCTAGAACAGATTCTCTGATGAGTGGGCAATTATATTTTTTCTCACATTAATAACCACTTATTGATATAAGCCCAAGCCCTGCCCCCGCTCCAGTTTCCATTTTCATTCAGAAATCAGCCCCTGTAGGTGATTCAGCCAGTCTCTAAAGGGCAGGGCTTATGAGGAGATGAGATCTTGGGTGACACTTACCCAAGGGAGAAAGTTTAGATCTAACCAAAAGATAGAGATTTTAATCTTGAGATAAATGCTGGTCCATTGCGTGTGTTAGTAAGACAGGTCTGAGGGGAAGTGGATTCCCCCTTTTTTTCTAGGTTGCCCTGGGCAGGGGTGGTCTAGGAAAAGATATGGCTATTAGTCCAAAATTGAGTGATGAGTCCAGTCCCTCAGTTCCTCATTAGACAAGTCCACTTCATTCTAAATAATTTTTAACCAATTAGACTTGATTTGTACCTGTTAGTAACACCCACTTATCTAAGGGTATATATGTGTTGAGAAACATCCAAAATTCATCTTTGGTTTACAAGAGACAGATAAATGTCCATTCTTTTATTAAATGTTCACTAGCCAGAATAAAGGAAATGATACTTAAAAATGGACTTTTCATTCATCATATTTGTTTGGAAAGGAGATGGTGTGCATAAAGTTAATCACATTCTAAACACTCACAAGATTTCTCCAGTGTGGATTCTGATTTTGAACAAGATTTGAGCTAAGTGGGAAAGCCTCGTCACACTAATTACACTGATAAGGTTTCTCTCCTATATGGATTATCTCATGTAGAGTAAGTTTCCAGTTTATTCACAAAGCTTTTCCACATTGATTACATTCATACGATTTCTCCCCAGTGTGCATTCTCTGATGTACAGAAAGACTGGTCCTGCATTTGAAAGCCATTCCACACTGATTACATTCATAAGGTTTATATACAGTATGGTTTCTCTGATGTAGACTAAGACAACTTTTACAAGTGCAAGTCTTTGCAGAGTGATTACATTCATAAGATTTCTCTCTACTGTGGAGTCTCTGATGTTTAATGAGGCTGGAGCTCTATGTGAAAGCCTTTCCACAGTGATTACATTCATAATGTTTCTCTCCATCGTGGAGTCTTTGATGTTGAGTAAGTTTGGAGCTCTTTGTGAAAGCCTTTCCACACTGATTACATTCATAAGGTTTCTCTCCAGCATGGAGTCTTTGATGTTCAATACCATTGGAGCTCTGTGTGAAAGCCTTTCCACACTGATTACATTCATAAGGTTTCTCTCCAGTGTGGATTCTCTGATGTAGAGTAAGATCACTTTTACACCTGAACGCGACTGCACATTGAATACATTCATAAGGTTTCTCTCCACTGTGAAGTCTTTGATGTTTAATAAGGTTGGAGCTCTGTGTGAAAGCTTTTCCACACTGATTACATTCATAAGGTTTCTCTCCAGTATGGCTTCCCCCGACATAGAGTAAGATCACTTTTATCCCTGAAAGTCTTAGCACACTGAATACTTTCATAAGGTATCTCTTCAGTGTGGAGTCTTTGGTGTTGAATAAGGTTGCAGCTGTGTGTGAAAGCCTTTCCACACTTATTACATTGATAAGGTTTCTCTCCAGTGTGGAGTCTTTGATGTTGAGCAAGTTTGTAGCTCTCTGTGAAAGTCTTTCCGCACTGATGACATTTTTAAGGTTTCTCTCCAGTATGGAGTCTTTGATGTCTAACAAGGTGGGAGTTCCATGTGAAAGCCTTTCCACACTGATTACATGCATAAGGTTTCTTTCCAGTGTGGAGTTTTTAACGTTTAATAGGGCTGGAGCTCTGTGTAAAAGCTTTTCCACACTTATTACCTTCGTAAGGTCTCTGTCCAGTGGGGATTTTCTCATGTAGAGTAAGTTCCCAGTTTAGTCAGAAAGCTTTTCCACATTGATCACATTCATACAGTTTCTCTCTAGTGTGGATTCTCTGATGTAGACTATGATCACTTTTACATTTGAAAGTCTTTCCACAGTGATTACATTTATAAGGATTCTCTCCAGTGTGGTTTCTATGATTTAGACTAAGATCACTTTTACACCTGAAAGCCTTTCCTCATTCATTACATTCATAAGGTTTCTCTGCAGTGGAGTCTTTGATGTTCATAAGTTGAGCTCTGTGAAAGCCTTTCCACACTGATTACATCAAGGTTTCTCTCCAGTGAATTCTGTGATGTATATAGGTGGAGCTCTGTGTGAAAGCCTTTCCACACTGATTACATTCATAAGGTTTCTCTCCAGTGTGAATTCTCTGATGTTTAATAAGGTTGGAGCTCTCTGTGAAAGCCTTTCCACAGTGATTACATTCATAAGGTTTCTCTCCAGTGTGTTTCTCTGATGTGTAATAAGGCTGGAGCTCTGTGTGAAAGTCTTTCCACACTGATTACATTCATAAGGTTTCTCTCCAGTGTGGCTTCTCTGATGTATAGTAAGATCACTTTTATCCCTGAAAGCCTTACTACACTGCACATTCATAAGGTTTCTCTCCAGTGTGGATTCTCTGAGATGAGTAATAACTTTATACCTGAAAGCCTTACCACACTGAATACATTCATAAGGTTTCTCTCCAGTGTGGATTCTTTGATGTTGAATAAGGTTGCAGCTCTGTGTGAAAGCTTTTCCACACTGATTACATTGATAAGGTTTCTCTCCAGTGTGGAGTCTTTGATGTTCAATAAGTTTCCAGCTGTGTGTGAAAGCCTTTCCACATTGATTACATTCATAAGGTTTCTCTCCAGTGTGGCTTCTATGATGTAGAGTAAGATCACTTTTACACCTGAAAGTCTTTCCACACTGATTACATTCATAAGGTTTCTCTCCAGTATGGAGTCTCTGATGTTTAATAAGGTTGGAGCTCTGTGAGAAAGCTTTTCCACACTGATTACATTCATAAGGTTTCTCTCCAGTGTGAATTCTCTGATGTAGAGTAAGATCACCTTTACACCTGAAAGTGTTTCCACACTGAATACATTCATAAGGTTTCTCTCCAGTGTGAAATCTTTGATGTTTAATAAGGTTGCAGCTCTGTGTGAAAGCCTTTCCACACTGAATACATTCATAAGGTTTCTCTCCACTGTGTTTTCTCTGATGTATAATAAGGCTAGAGCTCTGTGTGAAAGCCTTTCCACATTGATTACATTCATAAGGTTTCTCTCCGGTATGTTTCCTCAGATGTATAATAAGGTTAGAGCTCTGTGTGAAAGCCTTTCCACACTGATTACATTCATAAGGCTTCTCTCCAGTGTGTTTTCTCTGATGTATAATAAGGTTGGAGCTCTGTGTGAAAGCCTTTCCACACTGATTACATTCATAAGGTTTCTCTCCAGTGTGGCTTCTCTGATGTAGAGTAAGATCACTTTTATCCCTGAAAGCCTTAGCACACTGAATACTTTCACAAGGTTTCTCTTCAGTGTGGAGTCTTTGGTGTTGAATAAGGTTGCAGCTGTGTGTGAAAGCCTTTCGACACTTATTACATTGATAAGGTTTCTCTCCAGTGTGGAGTCTTTTATGTTGAATAAGGTTGCAGCTGTGTGTGAAAGCCTTTCCACACTGATTACATTCATAAGGTTTTTCTCCAGAGTGAAGTCTTTGATGTTGAGTAAGTTTGTAGCTCTCTGTGAAAGCCTTTCCACAATGATGACATTTATAAGGTTTCTCTCCAGTATGGAGTCTTTGATGTCTAAAAAGGTTGGAGCTCTGTGTGAAAGCCTTTCCACACTGATTACATTCATAAGGTTTCTCTCCAGTGTGGATTCTCTGATGTAGAGTAAGATCACTTTTATACCTGAAAGTCTTACCACACTGAAAACATTCACAAGGTTTCTCTACAGTGTGAAGTCTTTGATGTTTAATAAGTCTGGAGCTCTGTGTGAAAGCCTTTCCACACTGATTACATTCATAAGGTTTCTCTCCAGTGTGCAGTCTTTGATGTTGAGCAAGTTTGTAGCTCTCTGTGAAAGCCTTTGCACAATGATGACATTTATAAGGTTTCTCTCCAGTATGGAGTCTTTGATGTCTAAAAAGGTTGGAGCTCTGTGTGAAAGCCTTTCCACACTGATTACATTCATAAGGTTTCTCTCCAGTGTGGATTCTCTGATGTAGAGTAAGATCACTTTTATACCTGAAAGCCTTACCACACTGAATACATTCATAACGTTTCTCTCCAGTGTGGAGTCTTTGATGTTTAATAAGGCTGGAGCTCTGGGTGAAAGCCCTTCCACACTGAATACATTCATAAGGTTTCTCTGTAGTGTGGAGTCTGTGAAGTTGAGTAAGTTTGGAACTCTGTGTGAAAGCCTTTCCACACTGATTACATGCATAAAGTGTCCTGCCAACGTGAGTCCTCTGATGTATAATGAAGGATGAGTATTCACTAAAAGTCTTACCACATTCATGACACTCATGTGGTTTCACTGCAGGAGTAATTTTTTGATGGTAAATAAAGGATGACTGCTGACTCAACACTTTCCCACAGTGATGACAATCATGAGGATTTCCTCCTCTGTGGATTCCATGAAATGCAGCACAGATTTGTCTCCCAGTGAAGTCACAAGGACCATCCCTCATATAACTTTTCTTATGAGTTTCTTTCACAGAAATGCTTAGCTTTGCAGTAGTCTCTTTCATTTCAGGTCTAATCTCTCCTTCTGCAAGAAACAATAAAACATATATAAAGATACATATATGCACATATGAAAGTATTACCTGTTCCCTCCATTGCCAGAAAATAAACTACTGAGAAAGCAGGATCTACATCTTACTTCCCCAACCTCAGAAAAAAGTGCAAAGTTCAATGGACAGAATCAGTCATTTGAAAATTGCATTAGCTCACATCTGAGGGATGCTTCATTCAGAAAGAGCTGCACACACAGTTACATTGGATCCTCACAAAACCCTATGACACTGGAAGGCCCAGCATTCTCATTACATTAACAGCTCAGGCCAGGAGCTCAGAATGGCTGGGTCACCTGCAGAACATCTGTGTAGCTGAGGCTACAACTCCAACCCTGCAAGTGGGCATGCTCTGTCCACTGTACTAGATGGCCTTTCTCTATTGCACTTTCCTTTGTTTTCTTTTTTTTTTTTAAGAAAAATTATTTTATTATTGTATGTTGACTTGTTCTCTCTTCAGGTTTTCCTATTCCCTGAGACACAAGAGTATTCAAATTAGGCCAATTAATAATCCTACAATGGGGTTCTATGTTCAAGTGAAAAGAACAGTCAATCAATGTGGTAAACTTCATTGTAGCCTGTTTTTAAGAAATTACTACAGCCACTGTTTTGAGCAAACACCACCCTGATCACTCAGCAGCCATCAACACTTGTCTAGAGTCACCATCAGTAACAAGATTATGATTTACTGAAGGCTCAGATGACAGATAGCTGTTATTTGCAATGAAATATTTTTAAGTTTTAGTACATATTTTTTTTATTATTATTTTTTGGCAATTGGGGTTAAGTGAATTGCCAAGGCACACAAAGCTAGTAAGTGCGAAGTGTTTGGTCTTTGGACAGATTTGAACTCAGGTCCTCCTGACTTCAGGGCTGTTGCTCTATACACTGCGCCACCTAACTGCTCCCCCTATATACATTTTAGAAAACAGTATTGCACACATAATAAATGACAGTATATAGTAAACATAACTTTTACATACACTGAGAAACTACAAAATTCATGTGACTTATTTGGTTGCAGTATTCACTTTACTGTAGTGCTCTAGAACTCAACCTACAATGTCTCTGAGGTGGGCATGAAATTTTTCTCATTCGTATTTTCACTTTGATTCTTTCCTCCTTAATTCTACTCTCCTCCTTAAACTGTTACTAGCCTCACTACTTGACTGCCCTCACATCCCACTGAACTACATGTCTCTCCATTCCCAAACACTCTCCTTTACCTGGATCAGCTAAGAGCAAGGCTCCTGATCTGTTGCTTCTTCTCAACCATTTCCATGTTTGTAGGCCACGTTGGCAGCTCCTTGACTGCAGGGACTGGCTTTTCCCCTTCCTAAAGCTTAGCGAGGTGCCTAGAAAAATGGAGGTGCTTCATCCATGCTTATTGACTGATGACTGGGCCCAGAGCTGACACCAGGCCCCAGGCTTGACCTCAAGCCTTATATTCTGGTCTCTGTCTTAGTTGGCCAATGAAGGTTTTGGTTTCAGGCCTGTTCATGCCTCTTTCCTGCACTTTATCACCTACATTGACAGGCCTCTTTCTCTAGTTCTAACCATGTTGGAACCTAACAAGATCCCCAGTGAAGATCAGAGAGACTTCTATGTAGGTACCTGAGGCATCTTATACTAAGGGATACCAAGTAGTTTCCACTTGACACTACCCCAAAGTGAGAGTGACTGTCAACTCAACGATTCTCCAAGAACTGGTGAAAGATTGAGCCTCAGAGACCAGAACACAGGTTGAAGGTTTATGTAAAGCATAGCCTTGGGCCAATTCTACTTCGTGACTACTTAGATACTTAGAATCAGGCTTCCTGGGTCCACTTCCCATTCAGGCTACATAATCTCAGTGCAGTCCTCACTGTGGCAAGGCCATCCTTTCATATCTCCCTAACTAACTCCCTTGGGGCATCTACATGGTGCAGTGGATAGAGTACTGGTCAGGAAGACTTGGGTTCAAATCCAGGCACAGACACTTACTAGCTGTTTGACACTGAGCAAGTCACTCAGGCCTGCTGGCCTCAGTTAATTCATGTGCATAAAATGAGCCTAAAAGGGAAATGGCAAACCATTCCATTATCTTTACCAAGAAAACCCCAAACTGGGTCATGAAGTGTCAGAAACAACTGAAATGACTGAACAATCACATGACTGACTCCCAGTTGCATTCATCACAGCAGCTTTTCCAATTCTTTTTTTTCTTCCCCAACCCTCTCTTACTTCTTGCTCCCACTCTCTACATCCACCACTCACCTCCTCAGCAAGGAAGTCTGCCTTATATTTCATTGAAAAAACTGGATACTTAAGAAGAGCTATCTTATCTTCATCTCCAATAAATCAAGTGCCTTTTTCTCCTTTATGACATCAGTATCAGATAAAAGAGTCCTCCTTCTGCTTCTTAAAGGAAACTCCTTTCTATGGGTAAATCATTCCATTCCATCACACCATCTTCAATGTATACTTCCTCTACCGCATTGTCTTTTTTCACTACTTTTCAGTCTCTCCAACACTAATGTCTCCTTCCCTGTTGCCACAAATAATACCTTTTCTCTCTAATCCTCAAAATACAGTCACTTGATCCATTTGATCCAAGAGATATTTTCTAATATCTTTCTTCCATGTCATGACTAACCAGCCGGACACGCCCATTTACAACTGCTGTCTCCAACTCTTTCCTTTTGCTTTCTCTGAAATACTCTGCAGTCTAGCTCCCTGTTTCATTCTTTAGTGAAGACTCCTCTCCAAAATTACAAAAACTCTCAAATGTTGCTAAATTGACTGCTCATTTCTTAATCTTCACCCTTTTTTGACTTCTCTGCAGCCTTTGACATAGGCAATCACCCTTTCCTCTCTCTCTCTCTGTCTCTGAGTTTTAGTGACACTCTTCTCCTGGTTCTGCTACTGTACCCAAACTAAACTCAAACTTTTCCCCTCTTCTTACTGGCCTAGGGCTGTCCAAGGCATCCTCTCAACAGTGCTGACTCACAAATGGGGTGTCATGCACCCCTCACTGACTCTCACACATTCACACTCCTGACCCCCATATTCAATCTGCTGCAAAGTCCTGTCATTCCGCCTAGGTAAGATCTCTCCCATTCACCCCCTTCTCTCCCAACACTGCCACTGTCTTGGTTCAGGCTTCAATCACCTCACACCTGAGGTACTGCCAGAACCTGCTGCTTGGCCCAGCTGCCTCAAGTCTCCCCCCACTCCAGTCATTCCTCACCCACTTCTCAAAGTTCATCTTCCTAAAGTTTTGACTGACCATGTTAACTGTGTTCCCACCACCCTGCCATATCTCCCTAGGAAAAGGATCAAATATAAAATTGCTCTAGGGCTATTAATCACCTAACCCTGCTTCACCTACCACTGTCCCACTCTTCCAATCTTCTTTCACCTTATATCTCCACCAAATATTCTACACTCCAGTGCTATGGGCCTCACTTCTCTTCTTTGAACAGGACACTCCATCACCTGACTCTACAGACTGTCCTCACCATTCTTGTGCCTAGAATGCTCACCCTGGCTTCCCTGAAGCCCCAGCTGTAGCCCACCTTCCACAATAAGCCTTTCCAGTGTCCCTCGCTTGGTGAGCTCCTGTGCATAGAAGAATTCGACATAGTGGTTGGTATGTCATCTGCGCCAAACTACCCCCCTTCCCAGTTTCTGAGCTCCAAGAGAGCAGGGGATGTTCCTTCTATCTCTTTATATTTTGGATTCTTAGCATAGAATCTGGCAAATAGCTTGCAGTTAATAAATTTTTACCGACTTGACGAAAGTTTAAGAGAGAAATCAAATTGGAAAGCCTAACCCCCTTTTTTTCTGTTTTTTTATATAGATTTATTTTTAGTTTTCAACATTCACTTCCACAAGTTTTTGAGTTCCAAATTTTCACCCCATCTCCCCCCCCCCCCCATGCTAAAATGGCATGCATTCTGAATATCCCTTCCCCTAGTCTGTCCTCTCTTCTATCTCTCTCCCTTTCTCTTATCCCCTTCCCCTTCTATTTTCCTGTAGGGCAGGATAGACTTCTGCACCCCATTTCCTACATTTCTTATTTCCCAGTAGCATGTGAAAACATTTTTTTTAAACTTATGTTTTTAAAACTTTAGGTTTCAAATTTTCTCTCTTCCTCCCTCCCCACCCACCCTCATTGAAAAGGCAAGCAACTCAATACAGGTTGTTCATGTGCAGTTATGCAAAACACCTCCACAGTAGACATGTTGTGAAAAACTAACTCTATTTCCCTTAATCCTATCCTGCCCTCCCATTTATTCTATTCTTTCTTTTGACCCTGTCCCTCCTCAGAAGTATTTTCTGATTACCCCTTTCCCAATCTGCCCTCTCTCTATCATCCCCCTGCTCTCTTGTCCCCTTCTCCCCCTATTTTCCTGTAGGGTAAGACAGATTTCCATACCCAATTGAATGTGTATGTTATTCCCTCCTTAAGCCAAATCCTATGAGAATAAGATTCACTCATTCCCTCTCACCTTCCCCTGTTTCCCCTCCACTGTAAGAGACTTTCTTTTGTTTTTTTTTTTGTGAGATAATTTACCCCATTCTACCTCTCCCTTTCTTCTTCTGAGTATCATCCTCTCTCATCCCTTAATTTTATTCTCCAGATATGACCCCTTAATCTTCAACTCACCCTGTGCCCTCTATCTATCTATCTACTATACATACATATAATTTTTTCCTCCAACTACCCTAATACTGACAAAGGTCTCATGAGTTAAATATCATCTTTCCATGCAGGAATGTAAACAGTTCAATCTTAATAAGTCTCTATGATTTCTCTTTCCTGTTTACCTCTTCATGTTCCACTTGAGTCCTGTATTTGAAAGTCAAATTTTGTATTCAGCTCTGGTCTTTTCATCAAGAATGCTTGAAAGTCCTCTATTTCACTGAATGACCATTTTTTCCCCTGAAGGATTATACTCAGTTTTGCTGGGTAGGTGATTCTTGGTTGTAATCCTATCTCCTTTGCCCTCCAGAATATTATATTCCATGCCCTGCGTCCTTTAATGTAGAAGCTGCTAAATCTTGTGTTATCCTGATTGTGTTTCCACAGTACTTGAACTGTTTCCTTCTGGCAGCTTGTAATATTTTCTCCTTGACCTGGGAACTCTGGAATTTGGCTATATTCCTAGGAGTTTTCCTTTGGGGATCTCTTTCAGGAGGAGATCTGTGGATTCTTTCAATTTCTATTTTGCCCTCTGGTTCTAATATATCAGGGCAGTTTTCCTTGATAATTTCTTGAAAGATGATGTCTAGGCTCTTTTTTTGATCATGGCTTTCAGATAGTCCAATAATTTTTAAATTCTCTCTCCTGGATCTATTTTCCAGGTCAGTTGTTTTTCCAATGAGATATTTCACATTGTTTTCTAATTTTTCATTCTTTTGGATTTGTTTTACAGTGTCTTGATTTCTCATAAAGTCACTAGCTTCCAATTGCTCTATTCTAATTTTTAAGGAAGTATTTTCTTCAGTAAGCTTTTGGACTTCCTTTTCCATTTGGCCAATTTTCTTTTTAGGGCATTCTTTCTCCTCATTGGCTTTTTGGACCTCTTTTGCCATTTGGGTTAGGCTATTTTTTAAGGTGTTATTTTCTTCAGTATTTTTTTGGGTCTCCTTTAGCAAGCTGTTGACTTGTTTTTCATGATTTTCTTGCATCACTCACTCTCAGTTTTTCCTCTACTTCCTTACTTGCTTCTCAAAATCCCTTTTGAGCTCTTCCAAGGCCTGGGACTGATTCATATTTTTCTTGGAGGCTTTGGATGTAGGAGCTTTGACTTTGTTGTCTTCTTCTGGTTGGTTTATATTTTTGATCTTCCTTTTTCAGTGATAATACAATTACTTGAGTTTTAAACTCTTTGTCAAGGTACAATTCTGTTTCCAATGTGGAGAATGTACTGTCCCAAGCTTCGGGGGGTTTGTACAGCTATTTTCAGAGATACGTGTAGGGACCTGTAAATTTTCAGTTCTTCCTAGGTGGTATGATAAGGGGCAAGGTGTTTATTCCTTTCCTGCACTGTGACCACCAGTATTCCTTTCCGTCCTGTAACTATGAGGAGGGGTCCCTCTCCACAGCCACTACAAGCTCCACCAAGCCAATACTCCTCCTCATCCCAGCACTGCCGCCGAGAACTGTGGCCTAGATAAACACGGGCAAAGCAAGAGATTCCTGCCTCAGCACTAGCAAAGAGATCCCTGCAATCCCTCTCTGATCAGCCAGTGGATTCCCCCTCAGTGTGTGGGCCGGAAGCTCGGGAAGCAGCTGCCCCTGCCCAGGGCCATGCTCTTGGGGAATGGAGCTGAGACCCTGCCTTCCTTTTTCAGCATAAAAGGAAACAGACCTTTCCTACTGACCTTCTAAGTTGTCTTTGGCATTGGGGGATTGAGGAGTCTGAAAACCTCCACAGCGGCCTGAGATTGAGTCCTCTGTGGCCTGCTCCAGGTTCCCTGTGGCCTGCACGCCCAAACTGCGGTCTGTTGCCCACACTGTGCTGCGCTCCCAGCCCGGTGCAATAAATCTTTCTGATTAATCATGCAGGTTGTCTTGGGCTGGAAATTTGTTTCACTGTCTTTTTGTGGGTTCTGCTCTGTTTCAGAATTTGTTTAGAGCCATTTTTTATGAGTATTTGGAGGGGTTTGGAGGAGAGCTCAAGAAAGTCACTGCTTTCACTCCACCATCTTGGCTCCACCTCCCCAGCCCAACACCTTTTTGCATTTTCAAAAGGGTCCCTGCCTGCAAATTCTGAACAATGAGTTTTTATAGGATCACAGATTTATCACTGGAAGAAAGCGTAAAGTGTCCAACTCCCCAATTTCACACATGGGGAAACTGAGGCTCATAAGTTCCTTGACTTCTCCAGGATCCCACTGCTAAAAAGTATCTAAAAAAGAATTCCAGGTCAGGTTTTCCTGCCTCCAATTCTAGCACTTGCTTCACCACCACATCTAGAAGCCTCTTGTAATCAGAGCTCTGATCAACCTGCTTTCAGCTCACTCACCTGGACAGCAGCTCCTTAGGCCTTGATGCTCCAGGAGCCATGGTGCTTCCTTTTCCTCAAAATAAGAAATCAAATCTTCTCTGGGAACCGGCAGCCCTGGGCATGGGGAATCAGGGATGAGGGAAGAGAAAAACAAGTAATTTAGATTCCTTTAGGGAAAACAGTGTGCATACAAAGCTACTGAATTTTGAGAATCACTCTATCACATTCACACATATGTGGCTCATTCTCCCATCAGTGCCTGTAATGCAAGTAACCCAAAATAGGATCTGCCCAATCAGCCTTGAGGAACCAGCTTTGGCCCTGTCCCCTACACTGCTCCTCACTCCCTCAAACCTATAAACACCTTGTTACTGTTTATTCAGGGAGTCTTTGCCCCCTCTGGGAAGATTCTCCTGCTGGGGAACTCAATGAACCTTAATTAGTCCAAATTCTGATTCTTGACCAGTCTGTTATTCCTAGCATTGACAGGGGCTTACAAGGCAGAAGCACAGGATGGTTCCCAGGACTCCTTAACTATGGTGTCCACGCCATCAAATTTTGGGAGGTTTGGGAAGAGGTGGGGGAGAAGATCATGGAGTCAATTAGGAATTAGAAAATTTGGTCCTGGTGCACCTTCTTCATAGAAGGATGGACTCACTGCATACTTATGATTAGCTGGAAATTAGAAGCTGCTGGTAGTGCTGTGGAACAAGCCTGGGCCTGGAGTCAGAGATGCCAGGGTTGAAATACGGCCTCAAGCACTTACTAGCTGTGTGACACTGGAAAAGTCACTTAACCTCTGTTTGCTTCAGTTTACTCAAATGTGAACTGGGGATAATAATATCACCTAAAGACATAATATTGTAAAGAAAGCACTTAGCACAACAGCTGGTGAAGAGCAGGTGAACAGAAAGGCTTATTTCCTTCCTCTCTTTCCCACCATCTCTGCTGGAATGGGGGCAATGGAAAGGAAGATTAAGGACAAACCTGACATTGCAGGCACACGTAGGAGATGTGAGCTATAAATGGAGTCTTCTTAAGAAGAATGTTCCATACAGTAGGGCCATTCCAAAGAGGAAGGGGTCAGAAGGAAAAGCAGCCAGGGCAGTTTCCAGAGACTTGGCAGACAAAATTCATGTCCAGGGAGAGGCTGGACTAAATAATGTGGGATTACTTCCACATCTGAGATGCTTCAACAGTGATCTGATCTTTGACCTCAAGCTACCTAGAATTGGCAAGAGACAGCTTCAGGAGCAACCAGGAAACCTCCAGGTTCTCTTCACACAGTGTACTGACCTTTTATAGGAAAACTAGGTAGCAGGGGACCCTGTTTCTTGGACACAGGAGACCAGCACTTTTCCCTTTTAGTAACTTTAAACACTCCAAACCCAGCCCACTCAGGAATGAAGACATTCCCTTGGATTGCAGACTCAGAGTAGCCAGGGGAAGCGTCCTTACCCAGGGACAACAGGTTCTGCACATTCTCCAGCATGACCTCCTTGTACAACTCCTTCTGATGATGGTCTAAGAGGCCCCACTCCTCCTGGGTGAAGTCCACAGCCACATCCTTGAATGTCACCAGCTCCTAAACCATGAAACGTCACAAGATTTAGAGCTGAAAGAGACTTCAGGATTCCTGTAGTCTAACCCTCATCACATGAAAGGAGGAAACTGAAGTACAGGCAGGGGTGTCACCCAAAGGTGGTACCCTTGAGGAGTGTCAGTTGGAAGAAAGTTGAGGAAAGTCTTAGTATGGAATGTGTCTCCCCGTGGATCCTGCGATAAAGTGTATGTTTTATCTGTGAGGTAGAAGGTCCTGTGGAAGAGATAGACAGAAGATGATCTGAAATTTCTGCCTTCTCAGAACTGATAGAAGCAATATATTTAAAAAAAAATTTGTGAAGAGTTTTTGAGAAGCTATGAAGTACTGCGTATTCTGTGATGGTTGGGAGGATTTATGTGTGATTATTGATAAGAGAAGAAAGAAAAAGAGAGGATTTAGTTTATTTCCTGAGAACCAAAAAGAAAAAGTCTTAGCTAGATAAACCAGGAAACTGAATGCCTTCCATCTGTGACTAAAGTGTGCCACAATGAAATGACATCAATACTCAACATATATTCACCAAATGGTATACCATCTAAGTGTTGAAAAGAGAACTTAAATGAATTACAGCAGGAAATAGTCAATAAAACTGTACTAGTAGGGAACCTGACTCTTCCCCTCTCAGAACCAGATGAATGAAAAAAAAAAAACCGAGAAAGAAGTTAAGGAGGTAAATAAAATTTTAAAAAGTTAGATTGCTAGACTTTGGAGAAAACTGAATGAGAACAGAAAGGAATATACATTTTTTCCTCAGTAGTACATGGCATTCACACAAAAATTGCCCATGGATTAGAGCATAAAAACATCACAATTAAATGTAGAGAAGTAGAAATATAAAATGCATCCTATTCAGACCATAACACAATATAAAGTATATTCAATAAAGGGCAGTAAAAAGAGAGATAAAATTAATTGGAAACTGACTCATCTAATCCTAAAGAATAAATGCATCCAAGAACAAATTATAGAAACAATTAATAATTTAATTGAAGAGAATGACAACAAGGAGACAACCTAACAACATTAAAGGGATGCAGCCAATGCAGTAGTTGGGAGGAAATTTATATATCCAAACAACACACACACACACACACACACACACACACACACACACACACACACACACACACAAACACAGACACTTAATTTTAGCCTGAGGCAAAGACTGGGGGCAGGGATAGGTGGGGAAGAAGGAGGAAAAAAAGAACAATGTCAAAACTGCACAGCAGAGAACAAAAGAAAACTTACAAGGAAGCAAAATAAAAGACAGACAACTCTGAACACAAAGAGTAGTATTTACCCTACAGGTTTTATTGAAATGGAAATTTATTGCTGTATATTTTGAATCCTCTCTCATATTCTGTGCACATAGCAATGCTTTTCTTTCTTTCCTTATTTTACATTTCTTTAAAATTTTTTAAAAAATTACAAATAAAAAATGCTCCAAATCACTAACTAGTAAGAGAAATGTAAACCAAAACAACAGTAGTTAAAAAGAAAACTCCCAGGCCTTTGAATGGTTCCCCAAACTCAGCCCTTTCCCTATATCCTCTCTAACAAGGGAAGTACTACTGTATCAAGGGTCTCCTTCAGCTTGTTTACTCAGAGTTGAGAATGATTTTCTGACTCCATCACACAGAATTGTCTGGCTTTATGAGAATAGAAAAGCAGCCTGATTCTGTTTGTTCTTGGGACCAACCTTCAGTTAAGGGGGAAACTGATTCTGTTTGTTTCTTTGGAACAAACCTTTGGTAAATGGTTGACAGGTAGTACTACTGTTTTCAATTTCCTGCATATTTTTACAAAGAAACAATCCATAGGTAGAGAGGATGGCCAGTCTTGTAGACAATCCTCTTTGTCTCTGGAAATGAAATGGCCTTCTTGGCTGATATGGGTCAAATCTGAGGAAAAAGTGCACTTACCTGGGCTGGGGGTCTGCAGCTGCCAGGGGACATTCCCTCTGGTTCAGGCTCCCTGCTGGTCAGGCCTAGATCCTCTACACACTGAGGTGGGGAGGGAGAAGGATCCCAGGGCAGGAGGCTGGCCTGCAGGGATTTACAGGGTTGAGGCACTGTCTTCAGGGTCAGAGTGCAACCTACAGGAAGGGTAAGGTTTTGAAATGAGATGATCCCACCCTCTCCTATTCCTTCTCTTCCATCCCCTTCCCCTCTTCCATTCTCCTACACAGACCCAGGAGGAAGAGGCTTGGGATCCCAGATGGGATGAGACCAGGGACAGCCTCAATGGCTCCTGAATCAGAGCTCTCCCTCCACTGGGTGCTTTGCCCTCCCTGACTCCCCCTCCCCAAATAACACACACACACACACACACACACACACACACACACACACACACACACACACACACACTATCTAGACAACAGACTGAATGGTTCACCTAGGAGGGAGGGAAGGTTGGTGATGGGGACAGCTCAGGGATTGAGCCACCAGGAATGACCAGAGGAACCCTGAGGCTGGGAGAGAAATCCAGTCTGAGATTCAGCCCCCTGGCAGCAGATCCTGAGGTCTCTGATGGAAGAGGGGGCAGGGAAGCAGAAGGCCTGGGGAAAGAGAGCACAGGTAGGGGCTGGGAGGGAGACATTCTAAACCAGCTCCTGGTAGAGAAGTCAGGGAGACTGGAGAGACAGAAGGGCTCCAGGTGGACACTGAGCCTCAGAATGCAAGATGGCTGTGTCCTGAGGTCTAACTAGGAGCTGCGGAGTATTCCTGGGACCCCTCTGCTAAAAGTGAGGCTTGGAATCTCCCAGGGGAGAGCTGACACAGGGAGCCAGTGCCTGGGATCTGACAGGGAAGCAGCCCAGGAGCTGGGGGTCCAAACAAGGGGTCCAGGAGGCCCCCCCCATTCAAATATGGGTCCCGATGTGGAAAAATTAATGCTGTAATTCATTATTGGTTGATCTCTGAGCTGATCCAACCATTCCGGAGATAGATTTCGAATTATGATTAAAGAGTTATTAAACTGCCAGTATCCTTTGACCCAGCACTACCACTACTAGGTCTCTTTCCTAAGATGATTTGGGAAAATGGAAAAGAACCTACATCTCCTAAATACTTATAGCAGTTCTCCTTGCAGTAGCAAAGAACTGGAAATTGTGGGGATCCCCGTCAACTGGGGAATGGCTGAACAAATTGTGGTATATGATTGTGACAGAGTAATACTGTGGTATAAGAAATGATGAGCTCAATGATTTTAGAAAACCCTGGAAAGACTTGTACAAAATAATGTAATGAAAGCAAGAGAACCTTGTATACAACACCAGCAATAGTGTCTTAAGAATAACTTTAAGAGAATAACTTATTTTGATTATTCTAAAAATCCAAATTAACTATAAAGGATATATGAAGAAAGGCACTATCTGCATATGCACCAGAGAAATACAATCTTATATAGAATAATTTTACATATAAATACATATATACTTATATACCTTATATACGTGTCTCTGTGTGTGTGTGTGTGTGTGTATGTGTGTCTCTAATAGTATTCATTTCCAAAGCTAGGGGTTGAGGGAAGAAAAAGAAAGAAATAAAAAGAAATTTACAAGATAATTTTGTTGCATATTGGAAAGGAATAGCAACTTGTGCTATTCGCAGTAGACTTGCAGTTTCAATTACAATCATCTTTTTTATTGTACGTTATGGAAAAGCTTGTTTTACTCCATAAATTAAAAATCAAATTATTGAAAAATAATAAAATAAATAATATTGATAACAATTTACTCTTTTAGCAAAATTCAAAGGAGCTTGTAAATTCTCCTTAACGTTAAAAGGACAATTCTTTGTTTAGACTTTCAGCCAGATGAAGCAGGCAAAACTTAGGACTAAAAGAATTAAAAAGAAGTTTCTGTCAAAGTAGCAACACATTGAGGCTCTTATCACTGCAGATCAGCAAGGGATTCAAGATGAAATCAGCTTTTACTGATAATTTTTGTAATGAGATAAAAATCAATTTGGATAAACCTTCTTCAGCAAAAGGGGCCTTGCATTTTAGCATCTAACAAATCACCAGTACATGAGGGCTAACAGGTACAAACAGGCGGGGGTCACTTGTGACATGGCAACTGAAAAAGACAAGCAAGTTCAAGGGACCCCTTAACACTCTTCATTATTTATTGTGACTAATAGCAGGTAGTATATTTCATAGATTTATTTTTCTGCATTTCCTGTGACGTTTCTATGCCTTAAGACATAGTCAATTTCTGTGAAGGTGCCATGCACAGCTGAGTAACACTTATACTCCATTCTATTCTCATTCAAATTTCTCCAGGAGTCTTATCACCTAACTTTTCTAAAATTTTATTCTTTACCTTAATTCTTTATTTTCTTTTATGGTTAAATTTATCAATAACTAAGAGATCTAAACTGAAGACCCCTAAACTTGATAAAACAATTTAGTGTATGTATATGTATACACACACACACACACACACACACACATACGTATATATTTATATATGTTTATATTATACATTGTGAACCTGGAAGTTGTTTAAAGAGACAACAAGCTAGATGATAAGTAAACTCATTGTTTATTCCCTTAAGTTAGTGACATGGACATGGAGCCAGAAGTTTAACTCTGACTGAATCAAGCAATTCGAAATAGACAACTTATACTCTTAGAGCAATCCCAACTGAGAAAGTCTGAGTCTATATATATATATATGTATATATATATATAGTATATATACACAGCCACTACATTTGTAACATGTAGTATGACAAAGGAAATTTCTTAATTGAACAGGTTGTAAATATAAGAGAAGAAACAAAGTGTCCATTGGAATTACAGTCCCAGGATATCCGTTTTTCCCTACATATGTGCATAGGATACCAAGACAAGAAAAGTCCCACTCTTCCAGAGAGTGTCTGGTTCCAGTCATCCTGTCCTTAGTGATCACAGAAAGAGTGATGGTCAGCTCCAGTTGGTCCTGTAGTGGCTGACACAAGAAGGGGCATTCTTAGATCACTCAGAGAGCACAGTATGCTCTCATTATGACAGATTAAGCCCAGAGATTAAGCCCAGAGTGGGCCAAAACATCTCTCCTGATTGGCCAATCCAGGTTTTAGGCCTTTCTCAGTTGTTGGAGTGAAAAATGATTTGTGGAGGGGTCTATAATACATATATATACATATACACACATACATACATATGCATACAAATATCTCTAAGTGCACTATGGTGCCACCTAGCCACCCCTAAGTGTTTGGGTGGTCTATAACAGTCAATGGTCAATAAGCATTTATCAGGTACCTACCATGAGCCAGATATTGTGCTAAGGCCTGGGGATTCAAAGACAAATATGGAAGGACAGTCCTTGCCCTCAAGGAGCTTACTATCTGATGTAAAAAGCCAGCTCAGAAAAGGAAGCTAAAAAGGCAGAGAAGATGCCGTACATTGGGCATCCTCAGGAAGGGGGGAGAAGTCAGGTAGACAAGCCCCAAATCAGCAGAGCTAAGAGAGAAATGAGGAGATGTGGGAGTCAGTGTCCATGGCCCCACCCCAATGGATGAGGGAGGACTGAGAAGGGAAGAGGTTTGGAAAAGCTTCTGTTAGGACTGAGTTAGTGAATCAATTACAATCCATAAAAGGATGGCCAAACAGTGAGAGCCCATACTATTAATAAATGTGATAAAGTGCAGAATTGTGACTCAGGACTGTGGGAGATGAGCAGAATAACCAGGTAACCGCACCATAAGCTTGTAAACCAAAGCCAGGTTTATTCAATTTGATAGGACAGTGGCTCTCCCCCTCAAGGAGAGTTTACACCACTCAGGGAGGAAAGCAGTGTTTTAAAGGGGCCACAGAGGAATAGGACAGGAATGGGGTGAAAGTGAGTTGAACAAGGTCCCTGTTGCTGGGTCTCCAGGTTTATCTGGTGAAACAATCCACTAACCCAATTTCTGCATAACAGATTAGGGGAGACTCCTGGGACCCTCTGATAGTGCTTAGGCTTGGAATGTCCCAGGGGTGACCGGGAACAGGGAGCCAGTGCCTGGGATGTGACAGTGAAGCAGCCCAGCAGCTGGGGGTCCAGATAAGGGGTCCAGGCAGGAGCTGGGGGTTCTGCATCCAAAGCGGGGTCCTCAGTGCAGGTAGAACTCCGGATCATTACGGGGGGGTCGGAAGGGAGAACAACTCAACCTCTAAAGGGGGGGCGGGGACAGGGACCCAGAAAACCTGGAGCTTGCAGCGAGCTGGAAGCTACAGAGTTTCCTATGCCACTCTGTGGGCTGGCCTACTTACCTTACCGACTTTCCGGACTCTTCTAGCCACCACAGTCTTCAGACGTTCCCGGGATGCGTCTGGCCCTGTCCTCTTACATCCTTTTGACTGGAACAGAGTTTCGTTCTTTAGACCAGCTAAAAAACACGGTCAACAGTTCACCTGACACAGCAGATTTAGTTGTACAGGTATTTATTGCCTTATTGTTACATTTCTCGGGTTGGCCTTCTTCCCCGCTCGGATCCCCGAGCTGCACTGTCAAGACTGAGTGGCTTACCGAAAAAGGGGAAGAAAAGAACCTCCTGCTTCCTGCTCCACACCCTAATAAACCCTTCTTCAAGGTCCTCCTACTGCGTAGGCGTGTCCACGGAGGAGCCAATTCCCGTTAACGATGCAGGCTCAATACTCCAAGCTAAGTGCCTACCTGGCGATAGAACATTGTCCACCAACGCCCACCGTCCACGTGGCAAGGCTGAGCAGAGTCCACATCCGGGCCTCTCTAACTCTCGTGACACTCTCTACCCCCAGGACCCAACAACTCCCCTTCCTCATTTAAACAGGGGCTGTATGGTGGGCATCAGGGTAGGGAGCAGGGCGTAAGGCAAGCAAGTCAGCCTTGGTATGCATAATTGCAGTTTTCACAAGCATGATAAAACATCGTATCAAAGAAGGCAAAATTAACAGTACAACGCAGTTACATAACGAAGGACTTATAATAGTAATTAGCCAATGCCAACTAGTAAGATTACGTAGCCAAGTGGCAAGATTCATAACTGAATTTGATTGACTGGTATAATTGGCAGCAATGCCTTGCAATTCCTTTAGGAGCACAGCAAGCTGTTCGATTTCAGAGGAAGCATTATTTGCAAGAAGAGCACCTTGAAGAGCGGCACAAATAGATGGCCAGGTACCTGGGAAGGAAGAGTTTGTGCCGTTCACAGGTAAAGGTGTAACGCAGAGGGGATAATATTTATAATGACAAGGAACTTGGGATAATAATTCATGTAAAGCCAATTCACCTCCTAACAACTCTACTATAGGCACTAACACATTAATTTCATTTTGGAGCTTTTGGTTAATTATGTTCTGTGTATGCCACAACTGTGTTTCTTGTATGAGAAACTTTTGAAGGGTAGATGCAAGGAACCCTTGCTGTTGATATAAATCTTGAATTTGAAACTCTTCCCAAATACTGAATACGATATTAATGATATCAAAACCTAAGTCTTCCACGCCCCGTTTTCTGTGGGGTTTTTCATCAGCCAATTTGGCCCATAACTCATCTATTGGTTCTTTCACCCAAGGGACACTAGCTTTTACGGGAACCAAGGTATATTTGGGACATGTTAGAATGAAAATATACATGTTACGATAGGCAGACGTAAGGACATTTGTTAAAGTCAAATTCGAGCATGTCACCCTATAGGGAATTAAGCCTGCCCGTTGTTGTTGAGGCGCAAAAACAGTATCATCGGGTGTACAGAGTCCGAAGGCATAATTAGGGGGAGTATATACTTGACCTTCGAATATATAGCAGAATCTGTCCATACTATCTGAAGTGTCATGACAGGTAGAATTCAAATTCCTAAACACCAACTGCCACATAGAAAAAGGGAAGTCTTTATAAAACGGATCAGTATCTTTACATGGACAAATTTGTAGACCTACTTCAATTAGCTCAAACGGTATGGCCAAATGCCATAAAGATGGATGAAAGGTGTGAAAGGGCTGAGCTATTGGTGTAGGTGCGGGAATTTGCCGGAAATGTTGAGTACTATACACCTGTTCCCAATACCGAAATGTCACAGTCAAATTGTACAAGTCATTTCCACAAGAAGGGACTCCCAAGGAACAAGGTTCAATGGGAGCCCAAGTATTACCGTTACCAGCCTGACATTGTACACATGTAGCAGATACATTACTAGTCATATTACATGGTTCATGCGGAAAGGCTAACAAAGAAATGTTAAGTCTTGAGGTATGATTAGCCAAGTGTACTGCTGGATGGAACCAAGATGTCAGTAGATGTTTCTGCAACGATACACAAGTGTCATCGCCTGTGTTAGCGTCATAAGGGCCTGCTAACACACATACCGGAGGAGAGGCGGTATGGAAGGTAAAATTAAAAAGATGTTGAATGGATATCTGAATGGATTGTTCAGATTTCGGCCTGCCAACCAGCGTAGATGCATTCCCACGTATATGAATCTGAGGGGTCTGTTCAGCCCAACCTATGCCTTTTAAGGCAGGAGGATGTGGAATCAACCCCCAAAACCATTGTCCATTAATGTCCTCCTGAAGGCGGCGCGGATCTGTAATCCGAGTCCAATTGCTCGTGGAATGAGGAGATGTTACCAGAGAAGGTAGGGTAGTCAGGAAACACAAAAGGTACAGTACATTAGTTGATGGTTTCCTTGAACCACGACATCCTCTAGAGAGGCCTTACGAGGAGTCTGGCAAGTGATCATGGTCTGGTCTCTCCTTCTGCGGTGCCGCTGTCTCCTCCAATTAGGTCTGGGGCACTTTGTCTTCCCCGTCTCCATCTGGTAATTCTCAGAGCCATGGTAGGGGAACCCACGTCCCGTTGGTGTCGGCATCTCGGGAAGTATCTAGAATGACATGAGCATACCCTGGACCCCACATGGTTATCCGACCTGGCCCCTTCCACTGGCCGTCATGAGTTTTCCACATCGCTTGAGTGCAATGCGTAGTGTGGGGTCTTTTAGGAGGTGTAACATGTTCAAAGGCTTGCCAGAAACACATGGGAAGTGTGAGATTGTCCTGATTATATTGTAAATAATTATGGGTGAATGTGGCTTTATCTAATTGTGCATGGGTTAATTTCCCTGAAACTCCCCTTCCTTGTTTAAAAAGGAGAGTCTTGAGGGTGCGGTTAGCCCGTTCAACGATAGCCTGACCGGTAGGGTTATAGGGAATACCAGTGATGTGATGGATGTGAAACTCGGAAAAGAACTGGGCAAAGGCCGAGGAGGTGTATGGCGGGCCATTATCAGTCTTCAAATAATAAGGCGTACTGGCTAATGTAAAACATCGAAAGAGATGAGAAAAGACTGAGTGGACTCCGAACATTGCAGAGAAGCAATAAGAAAACCCGAAAAAGTATCCACAGTAACGTGAATTAATTGAGACCTAAAATGAGTAACCTCCATTTGCCACAATTGATTAGGGTAGAGGCCACGAGGGTTAACGGTCATACGCGGTGGAGGAGGACGGAAAGGAGCACAAGTAGTGCAATGGAGGACAATACGACGAGCTTGCTCTTTAGAGAGACCATAGAGGCGACGAAGAGAACGAGCAGAGAGATGCAAGGAAGCATGGCCCTGAATTGCTGAGTCCATAGGAGAAAGAGATAAAGGATAAAGCAGGCGATTGGCTGTATCATTGCCTTGAAAGATAGGACCGAGACCATTAGTATGGGATCTCACATGTAAAACATAGACGGGAGAGGAACGCGCCAGAAGAACTTGTTGCGCCTGAAAGAGTAAAGTAGAAATAGTGGAAGCATGAGCATGAATAATGGCAGAAGGTAATTGCGGCAGAGCTAGACAAACGTATTTGCTATTGGAAATAAGGTTAAAGGAGCTTGGAACTTTAATTATTCAAGGCTTGAAGGGCTCCAAAGAGCTCATTCTTCTGAGCAGAGCCAAAAGGTGTCGTTAACACCCAGGACCGTGGAGTAAAGCCTGAGATATAAATTGAAGCTTTATGATGCTTAGTAGCATCAGTAAAGATGTTGGGACCTCGTACAGGGACCGGTGATATGGGTGTAGGTGGTGGTAGCAACGGGAAAGAAGGCAACACTTGCAAACAGGGAGGAAGATTGGGTGTAACAAACCGACAGGTCATCACCAAATAGGCCCATAGAATATTGTCAGAGGCCAGCACGTGGAGTTCAGAGGCTGGTAATAAGGCATGAAAAATTGGTGGCTCCCCACTTAATGAGACAGCACACTGTACTATGGAGTAAAGAAACTGACCTAAATACTCCGTTCGGGAGGTCAAAATCTTTGACGGGGCTGAGGGGTACAACCACTCTATTGCTCTGGCTGATTGAAAAAGACAAGCATAGAGGGGTTTGTCCAAAAAGAGAGCGACTGACAAAGGTTCGTCAGAGCTTATACAAACAGTATGTGATTGAAAACATCTCTGAATTTCTTGTATAGCCTCTTTCACCTCGGTGGTCCAGTGGCATGGCGAATTAAGGTCAGAGGGCCCTTTTAATATGTCATACAACAGTTGCATCAAAGAAAGTGGAATAGGAATAATATTACGTAGCCATTGCAGACTACCCACCAACTTTTGAAACTGATTCAGTGTTTTGATAGAATCGGTTGCTATTTTAGGGGAATGTTTCGTTACCCTGCAACCTTCTAGATGATGGCCAAGATATTGAAAGGGTTCCTGTGTTTGTATTTTGTTAGGAGCCACAACTAAGCCATATAATTCCAATTGTGCAAGGGTGCGTCGCAACACCTCACTCATGTCACAACCCGGGGGCTGTGCAGGAAGTATATCATCCATATAATGTAGGATGTACAACTCTGTATATTTTTCTCTTAAAGGTCATAGTGCCTTATCTACGAACCATTGACAAAGAATAAGACTATTTGCCATCCCTTGCGGGAGGACCTTCCATTGATACCTTTTATAAGGTCCTTGATAGTTTATGGTAGGAACAGAGAAAGCAAATTTCTCTCGGTCACTAGGGTGTAAAGGAATTGAAAAGAAACAATCTTAGATGTCTATGACTATTATCTGATAATCCCTCAGTATCATGCTAGGTGAGGGGAGTCCAGGCTGGAGAGTGCCCATTGGGTACATAATCTCATTTATTTTATGGAGATCAATAAGGAAGCAGTAAGCGCCTGATTTTTTGCGTATGACAAACACTGGTGAATTATACGGACTGAAAGAGGGTTCTAAGTGATTTTCTTCTAATTGTTATTTAACAAGAGCCTGTAAGGCGTTCATTTTTTCTATAGTGAGGGGCCACTGTTCCACCCATACAGGCGTTTCAGTTTTCCATTTCAACCTAGGAATTTCTATTGATATTGAACAAGTCATTACAACAGGGCCCCGGTTTAGTTTAAATCTGTCATAATAGTTGCACCTATAGAACTCAATAAATCCCGACCCCAAAGGGGCGTCTCCAAGCCCACAATCATAATAGGCTTAAACCATCCTTCTTGACCGTCCATGTGAAATTTTAAATTACGAGTTGCTTTCATATCAGTTTGAGAGCCTCCAACACCTATGACCTGTAAACAGTATTGTTGTAAAGGCCATTCAGCCCAATCTTGTTGGCCAATAACCGAAATATCTGCTCCCGTGTCTGTCATCCCTGTTAAAATGTGTCCCTCAATGTTAATCTCCAACATAGGATGATCAAATCGTATAGGTTGACAAAACTGTATCTGAGGGGAATCTTGTCCATTTTCCATCCACGGTAGAGGAATTGCTTTAGCAACTGGTTCATTACCTCCAATAGTAATTGGAAAAAGATTGGGATTGGTAAGATAAATAGTTGTATCTCCAGCTTCCAGTAAGATGGTATGTACTATATGTAGGGGCTATATGTAGAAAGCCCTATAACCAATCTAGGGAAAGGTCATGCTAAAATTTTTACTGGTAGTGTACCCCAAGGTTTTACACTTAAGAGCTGTCCATCTGGGATTTGTGAAGGGTATGCTAATACTTCATTCGATTCAGGTGATAACGGTATTTGGCCTGGAAGTCCGTGGGGGGTTCCTGGGAAGGTGTTTCCCTTTTCGGGAATGTAAGCTTGTGATGCTCCTGGGGAGTGGAGTCGAATCTGTGTTGGAGTTCCTTTTGATATTGAGAGAGGAAATCTGTTGCTTCCAGTTGTGGTCCCATGGGGCCATCTGTTCCTACTGTTATAGGATAGGCAGTTTTCGGGACCCTCAAGGGGCCCCTTCGCCCGTTTCCCTGATCTCCTCTTATCTTTTGTTGACGGCACTCCTTTGCCACATGCCCCTGTTTCCCACAAGAGAAACATGCTCCCCCAGGTCTCAACCTTGGTGCCTTTTTGCAATCTTTTTGCATATGACCGGTCCGCCCACAGTGGAAGCACCTGTTCTTTGCTTGAATACCTTGTGCGATTCCTCTACTAATAGCAGCAGCCACTGCTTCCATCTTAGAATTTTCTGGGTCTACATGGGACACCCTGTCTATATCCTCCAAATCAGCATCTGAAGGGAGATTTTGTACTACAGTTTTGTATGGCTTGGCAAAGCCCTCTTTTATAAGTTGTAAGGTAATGAGCTTGGATGCCTAATCTACACCAAGAGACCTTTCAACCTGTTGTTTCACATGGCTTATGAAGTCCAATGGAGTTTCTTTAGCAAATTTTTTAAGATTGCATAAATTGGTATATTGTTGACCCGTTTTTTCCACCTTCATACAAGCTTTAATGGCACATGCAGTAAGAGCCAAATAAACTAACACATCTAAATCTGTTTGAGCCTGAGTGGTGCTCCAAGGACCAGAAACAATCATCATTTGATAAGCTTCTTCTGGATTAGTAATGTCATGGTCTGCAATAAATTTATCAACCTCTCTTTTATAAAAACATCGCCACTGGAGAAACTGTTCAGGGGTAAGACAACTTTCCATAACAGACAGCCAGTCATGGGAAATCCAAGGATTAAGTGCTGTGGATGTCTTCAGCAATTGTATACAATATGGAGAACAACCATATTTGACCGCTGCTTCCTTTAAGTCTTTGAGTATTTTAAAAGGTACAGGCGTATGTGTACAGCCTCCAGTAGGAGTTGCCATAACAGGAAAGGCTTGCAGCATATCTGCCCATTCTCCTACATTTTCCACATTTTTGGCTGCCTCTAGTATACTTTGTTGTACTAAAGATGAATTAGGGGTGAGCTCCTTTTTACCTATGTCCTTTAACTTATGAAACTTTCCCGTTCCTGACTCCTTATCTAAACAGCAACTTTTGAGCATCTGTATAAGGGACTGTAATTCCTCCTCCTGTGAGATGGGCGGTGGAGGCGGAGGGAAGTCAAAATTTTTTTGTTGTGCCACAATACTGGGCGCACAGCCAACAGTATGACTAACTTCGTCTTTTAATTGTTGCTGCGCCACAGCTTCGACTTCCTGTTGTTCAAGCTCGTAACTTCGGGCAAGTACCTGATTCTGTTTGAGTAAAGGTTTTACCTCTGAATTTGGACAAAGTGGGGTATATAGGTTTATATGGGCGTGGCTGAGGAGTTTCCTCATCCGAGGTTTCTCCGAGACTGTTCCCCATTTGTACCATCTCTCCATATTTTCTTGGCTGTCTAAGGGGCTTTCCCCAAACAGCCTTTAAAATGCCCAATATGAGAAAATCTGTATCAGTCAATAATCCAGGATTGCTTTCCTCATAAGCAGTCATCTGCTCTCCCACAACAGTGAAACATGATGGGTCAACTCCTGCATGTTCTATCCAAGGGGAGGTAATCCAAATATGTTCTATAAATTTCCGGCAGTCTCTAATACGAATCTGCAGTTCTGCTCCTTTTGCTGCCTTATATACCTGACAAGCTAAAACTGCTTTGTTCTCAGGTTTGATCACAGGGATGGCCACTCCCTGTCCCATCTTTCACCACGGACTCTAACCGTAGTCTTCCCACCGTGTCTAACCGAGGTGAGGCTGCTGACCCTTCTCCTGACTCCAGGAGGGTAGGCCTTCGGGCCCCCGTTCCGGCGCCACTTGCAGAGTTCCCTATGCCACTCTGTGGGCTGGCCTACTTACCTTACCGACTTTCCGGACTCTTCTAGCCACCACAGTCTTCAGACGTTCCCGGGATGCGTCTGGCCCTGTCCTCTTACATCCTTTTGACTGGAACAGAGTTTCATTCTTTAGACCAGCTAAAGAACACGGTCAACAGTTCACCCGACACAGCAGATTTAGTTGTACAGGTATTTATTGCCTAATTGTTACATTTCTCGGGTTGGCCTTCTTCCCCGCTCGGATCCCCGAGCTGCACTGTCAAGACTGAGTGGCTTACCGAAAAAGGGGAAGAAAAGAACCTCCTGCTTCCTGCTCCACACCCTAATAAACCCTTCTTCAAGGTCCTCCTACTGCGTAGGCGTGTCCACGGAGGAGCCAATTCCCGTTAACGATGCAGGCTCAATACTCCAAGCTAAGTGCCTACCTGGCAATAGAATATTGTCCACCAACGCCCACCGTCCACGTGGCAAGGCTGAGCAGAGTCCACATCCGGGCCTCTCTAACTCTCGTGACACTCTCTACCCCCAGGACCCAACAGGAAGCAGGACTCCTGGGTCCCTCGGGCAAAGTGAGCCCCGACGGCGAATGTGCAGTGGGGGAAGAGCCCGGCAGTCTGGCGGTGTTGGGGGGCGGGCAGCGAGGGCCGCTCAGCACCAGGGTGGAGGAAGAAGAGGAGGGGGAGCAGGGGGGGAGGAGGGGGAGCCCGGAAGACAGGGTAGCCGGCACGAGGCACGGCTGCTGGGGCCGACCTACCTGGGACCTGCAAGTACAGAAAGCGGGCTGAGCTTTGCTCCAGGCGAGGCAGGAAGAGGGAGCCCCGCCCAGCCAGTCTCCCCCCCCCCACACCCCGGCTCCTCTGCCTTCCCACGTTCCCTCGGACCCAGCAGGTCACACTCACAACAGAGACCCCAGCACCCTTGCTCTCGGTTCCACCAGCTCAACTAACAACTGCCATCTCCAGGACGATCCGGGCCCCGGGTGAAACTGCGCATGCGCACAGCTGGCCCATCCCGGAAGAGGTTTCAGCCAGCTTCTCCAAGGCCTGGAACAAGGTCGAGGGGCGGGACCTCTCCGAGAGTTCCCAGGTGAGGCCGCTTCCGATTATGACCACCACCCTTCTGGGAAATGTAGTCCGGACTGCGGCTCTGGCTGGTTTTCCGGGCCCATGGGTGGGGCCAGGCATACGTGGGGCCGCCGCTGACTCCAATTGGCTGCGACCAGGGTGGAGCCGGGAAATCACCACTTCCTGTGATGGCGGGGCCAAAGAGATGGGGCGGGACCAGGGGCGAGTGGGGCAAGGCGGGGGAGGATAGGGTGGGAGGGGAGAGGGCAGGCTCAGAGCTCTCACTGGCCTTGGCTCAGTCCCCGGCCCCGCCCCCTCACCAAAGAGAGCGTTACGGTTTTATGTTCCCCACCCCTTGAATCCTAGGGGGGCTCACGTCCAGGGTCCCCGAGCGGGCGTAAAAAGGGCCTGAATGTCCAACACAAACAACGCTGAGAGTTTCCCTTGAGGGGCTGCTTTGAAGGGCTACAAAGGCTTTCCATGTGGTGGGTTATTTGCTCCCCAAAACCAGCCCACGAAATGCCCACTTTACAGAGGAGGAAACTGAGACCGACAGGACTTGGTGTTCTGGAAGGAAAGGGGGCCTCCCGGGGTAGAAGGTCATCCCCACCAGCCAGTGTGCTGGGGGCTGGACTGCCTGCCTCAGTTGTTTCCTTTGTTACAAGAGAGGATCCAGCCTGAAGGGAGAGTGTTGGTCTCCCTGCTGGTGTAGACAAAATGCGCCAATACAACCTGCAAAGGAGGGAAGAGGAGAAGGCCTCAGCTGGGGCACAGACATGGGTCTGTGTCAGATAACTTAGAGCTGATGGCATTCCCCTCATGTTTAATGGATGTGGGAGCGGGTTAAACCAGCCTTTGGCTTTGGCCCATCACACAGATCTCAGTGGAGAGGAGCCTTGGAAAGATCTCGGTGGGGAGGCTTTGGCTACAAGCTTTTCCTGACACTGCAAAGTCCCTGCTTTGGCCTTGCCTCATTTCTGGGGGGTGGGTGGAAAACACAGCCTCTGGATCTGGGGAGAGCCTGGGAGCCGGCCTGCCTCTAGGGGGAGGCTTTCAGGGAGGCAGAAGCCTTTGTGGACATTTTCTCCTTGAAGCATATTTAGAACCCCTGGGAAAATGGGATTGTGTAGTTTGAACCTACCTTGTGTGGTTTACAGCCTGGATCTGTTTGATGCTTTGACATCAGATCTGTGGCTCAATCAGGACATGCAGAACCCCCTGACTCCAGACAACTTCAGGGGAGGGAGGGGTCCAGAGGGGGAGGCCAGGAGTTTTCTGAGATATACCCTTTGAGGGCCCTCTAACTGCTGTATTTGGAAACTGCCTCCCAGCTAGTCCTTCCACTGGTTTCCTTATTCCTTGGTCTGAACTCTTTGGAATGTAAAACTTACTAAAAGATCTGGGAGCAGCCCCTATTTCAGCTCTCACCACAGCCAGAGGATGCAACAAGCTTCTTTCTAAAAACCTTTTACTTGAGAAATAGATATGAAAATACATGTGTAAGCATGCATGTATGTGTGTGTGTGTGTATTTCGTGGTTTGCAAGTTGTCTACTGTTTTCTTTTTGTTTTTTCCATTCCTGAGAGCTCCAGAGCCCAGTATTTCCTACTACAGTAGGTGCTTAATAAATGCTTGTTGCCTTGTTGACTTAAACCACTGGAATGTGAACTCCTACTCAATCTTTGTATCCTTAGCACTTAGCCTACTGGCTGACACATAGTAGGTACTTAATAAATGTTTATTGATTGGTTGATAAGACACAGACCAGAATACAAGGCCTGAGGTGGAGACTGGGGCCTGGTGTCAGCCCTGGAACCACTCATTATTCAGTAAGCATGGATGAAGAACCTCTAGTTTTTTAGGCACCTCACTAAGTTTTAGGAAGGGGGAAGCCAGTCCCTGCTGTCAAGGAGCTGCCAACATGGCCCACAAACATGGAGATGCTTGAGAAGAAGCAACAGATCAGGAGCCTTGCTCTTAGCTGATCCAGGAAAAGGAGAGAGTTTGGGAATGGAGAGACAGGTAGTTCAATGGGATATGAGGAATCTCAAGGAGTGAGGCTACTAACAGTTTAAGGAGGAGAGTGAAATTGGGGAGGAAAGAGTCAAAGTCAAAACAAGAATGAGAAGAATTTCAGGCACACCTCAGAGACAGTGTGGGTTCTTTTGTAGAGCACCACATTAAAGTGAATACTGCAATCAAGTGAGTTACCTGAATTTTTGGTTTCTAAGCACATATAAAAGTTATGGTTACTTTATACTGTTGTCTGTTATGTGTACAATCAGGTCTTTTAAAGTGTACATACGTTAATTTGAAAATATCTTAATTATAAAAAAAGTTAACTCTTCACTGAGCCTTCATTGAGTCTTCATCTTATTGCTGGTGGACCAGTGTTGATGGCTGCTGAGTGATTGGGGCGGTGCTTGCTCAAGTGTGGCAATGGCTGTGGCAATTTCTTAAAATCAGGCTACAGTGAAGCTTGCTACACTGATAGACTTTCCTTTTTCCTTGAATTTAAAGCCCTATTGTATGATTATTAATGGGCCTAATTTCAACATTGTTCTATCTCAGGGAATAGGTAGATCCAAAGAGAAAGAGAGAATAAGTCAACTTGCAATGATAAAATTTTTGTTCTTCAAAAAGAAAACAAAATGAAAGAAAGTGTAATGGAGAAAGGCCATCTAATACCATGGACAGAGTGTGCCCTCTTGCAGGGTTGGAGTTGGAGTCTCAGCTGCCCAGATGTGGGGCAGGTCACTCAGCCATTCTCAGCTCATGGCCTTAGTTGTGTGTGTAAGTAGAATACATGGTCCACCTGTATGGCAGGTGTTTGTGAGGATCCAGCTTGATTGTAAATCAAGCATCCCTGAGATGTGAGGTAATGGCATTTTCAAATTATTGGTTCTGTCCATTTAACTATGAAGATTTTCTCTTAGCCAGGTGAAGTAGAATGTAGATCAGTTAATTTAGTTTTTGGCAATGGAGGAAAGGGATTATAATTATATATCTGTGTACATGTGTCTCTCTATATATGTTATTATTTGTTTCTTGCAGAAAGAGAGATTACACTTGAAATGAAAGAAGACTGTTACAAAGCTAAGCATTTCTGTGAAAGAAACTCACAAGGAAAACTTCATGAGTGATGGTTCCTGTGACTTCACTGGGAGACAAATATGTGCTGTACTTCACAGAAATCACATAGGAGAGAAATGTTACAATTGTCATTATTGTAGGAAAGAGCCTAGTCAAGAGTCATCCCTCATTTGCCATCAAAAAATTAATACTAGATTGAAACCATGTGAGTATGAAGAATGTGGTGAAGCTTTTAGTGTATGTTCATCCTTCATTATACATCAGAGAATTCACACTGGCAGGAAACCTTATGAATATAATCAATGTGGAAAGACTTTTAGAAGAAGCTTTCATCTTGCTAAACATCAGGGAATCCACACTGGAGAGAAACCTTGTGAATGTGATCAGTATAGAAAGGCTAACAGGAATACCTCTGATTTGTTCAACATTGGGCAATCCACACTGAAGAGAAGACTTATGAATGTGATCAGTGTGGAAAGGATTTCACACAGATCTCCAATCTTGCTGCACATCAGAGAATCCACACTGGAGAGAAACTTTAAGAATGTGATCTATGTGAAAAGACTTTCACAAAGAGTTCTACTCTTCCTGAACATTAGAGAATCCACCCTGGGGAGAAACCTTATGAATGTAATCAGTGAGCAAAGGCTTTCAGGTGTAAAAGTGATCTTAGTCTACATCAGAGTATCCACATTGTACACAAACCTTATTAATGTAATCAGTGTGGAAAGGATTTCAAATGCAGGACCAGTCTTTCTGTACATCAGAGATGCACACTGGAGAAAAACCATAGGAATATGATCAATGTGGAAAATTTTCTGACTAAACTGGAAACTTGCTCTACATGAGATAATCCACATTGGAGAGAAAATTTATCAGTGTAATTAATGTGACAAGGCTTTCCCAGTGAGCTCAAATCTTGTTCAACATCAGAGTATCCACACTGGAGAAATCTTATGCGTGTTTAGAATGTGATAAAACTTCATGTACACCATCTCCTATCCAAACAAATCTGATGAATGAAAAGTCCATTTCTAGGTAACCATTTCCTTAATTGTGGCTAGTGAATATTTAATAAAAGAATGTTCATTCAGCTATCTGTTGTACACCAAAGATGAATTTTGGATGCTTCTCAACACTTACATGCCCTTAGATAAGTGGGTGTTACTAAAAGATACAAATCAAGTCTAATTGGTTAAAAATTATTGTGAATGTATATTATAAGCAGAGGTGGACTTACTCTAATAAGGAGCTGAGGGACTGGACTCATCACTCAATGTTGGACAAATAGCCTTATCTCTTCCTAGACCACCCATGCCTAGGGCAATCTAGAGGAAAGGGGGAATCCACTGCCCCAAATACCTGCCTGACTAAAACAGTGGACCAGCATTTACCCCAAGATTAAAATCTCTTTATGTTTTGGTTAGCTATAAACTTGCTCAGGGTAAATCTTGCCTAAAATTTCATTTCCTCATCAGCCCTGCCCTTCAGAGAATGGCTGAATCCCCTAGAGCAGCTGATTTCTGCATGAAAGTAGAAACTGGGGGGGGGCTGAGGGGGGTGGCGCACAGTACACAGAGCTTAGGCCCAAAGCAATAAGTGGTTATTAATATGAGAAAAATTATAATTGCTCTCACATCAGAGAATCCTTTCTAGAGGATATACCTTGTTAATATAATGAATACAAAAAAGCATTCAGGCCAAAGTCACATCCTATTTCCCATCAGAGAATTCCCATGAGATTGAAATGATATTCCTATAATGAATGTGGAAAGACATTCAGATGGTCTATAGAGCTTGTTAGACTCCAGAAAATTCATCTTAGCAACAAGCCTTCCAAGGAGTCAATGTGGGAATGCCTTCAGCAGAGATATCCTGTTCCTTTGCATCAGGGATTCACGGTGGAGAGAAGACTTATGTGCTCAGTGAAGACCTGCCTTTCCTTGGAAGATGCAGGTCATTCAACATCATAGTATTCACACTGGAAGGAATCCCTATAAAAGCAATAATTGTGGGAAGGCCTTCAACTGGAGCTCATACATGTTTGTATGTTGGAGAAATCTTCCTGGAGATAAATCTTCTGAATTTGATAAATGATTGAAGACCTTCGACTGCAGCACAGACCTCATGACACATCACAACTCTCTTATCTCTCCTTGCTATTCTCTGGAATTCCTCATTCCTTTGGGTGTATCTTTTCCTTTCTCCTTTCCTTCTTTCCTTAGTTATTTGTAAGATCTCATGAAACAGCCAATTTGCTTTCTTGCTCTTCTTTTTCCTTGGAATATTTTTTGTTGCTGCCTTCTGTACGATATTGCAAACTTCGGTCCAGTCCTTCAGGCACTCCATCAGAAGAAATCCCCTTAACCTACTTGTCACTTCAAAATAGAGAAAGAAAATTATAGACCAAATTCTCTAATGAATATAGATGCAAAAATTTTAAACAAAATATTAGCAAGTAGATTCCAGCAACTTATCACAAGAATAATACACTACGACCAGGTAGGATTTATGCCAGGAATGTAGGGTTGGTTCAATATTAGGAAAACTATCAGCATCATTGAGCATATCAACAACAAAACCAAGAGAAACCACATGATCATCTCAATAAATGCAGAAAAAGCTTTTGATAAAATACAACACCCACTCCTATTAAAAACACTAGAAAGCATAGGTGTAAATGGAGTCTTACTTAAAATAATAAATAGCATATATCTAAAACCTTCAGCAAGCATTATATGTAATGGGGACAGACTAGAAGCATTTCCAGTAAGATCGGGGGTGAAACAAGGATGTCCATTATCACCACTGTTATTCAATATTGTACTGCAAACTTTAGCTTTAGCAATAAGAGAAGAAAAAGAAATTGAAGGCATTAGAATAGGCAAAGAAGAAATAAAGCTATCACTCTTTGCTGATGACATGATGATATACTTACAGAATCCTAGAGAATCAAGTAAAAAACTACTTGAAATAATAAACAACTTTAGCAGAGTTGCAGGCTATAAAATAAACCCACATAAATCATCAGCATTTGTATATATTACCAACAAAGCCCAACAGCAAGAGATAGAAAGAGAAATCCCATTTAAACTTACTGTAGACATTATAAAATATTTAGGAGTCTACCTTCCGAAACAAACTCAGGAACTCTATGAACACAATGACAAAACACTTTTCACACAAATAAAATCAGATCTAAATAATTGGAAAAACATCAGTTGCTCATGGGTAGACCAAGCTAATATAATAAAAATGACAATCCTACCTAAGCTAATTTACTTATTCAGTGCCATACCAATCAAACTACCAAAAAATTATTTTATAGAGTTAGAAAAAATAATAACAAGATTCATTTGGAAAAACAAAAGGTCCAGAATATCAAAGGAACTAATGAAAAGAAATGCAGGGGAAGGTGGCCTAGCAATTCCAGATCTTAAATTGTATTATAAAGCAGCAATCATCAAAACTGCTTGGTACTGGCTAAGAAATAGAGGTGGATCAGTGGAATAGGTTAAATATGCAAGACACAGTAGTCAATGACTATAGTAATCTATTATTTGATAAACCCAAAGACCCCAGCTTCTGGGATAAGAACCCACTCTTTGAAAAAAACTGCTGGGAAAACTGGAAAAGAGTATGGCAGAAACTAGGCATAGACCCAAATCTCACACCATATACCAAAATAAAGTCAAAATGGGTTCAGGACTTAGATATAAAGGCTGATACCATAAGTAAACTGGGAGAACAAGGAATAGTTTACCTATCAGATCTATGGAGAACAGAAGAATTCATGACCAAACAGGAGATAGAGAACATTATGAAAAGCAAAATGGATAATTTTGATTACATTAAATTGAAAAGTTTTTGCACAAACAAAGCCAATGCAACTAAGATTAGAAGGAAGGTAGAAAATTGGGAAAGAATTTTTACAACCAGTCTTCTGATAAAGGCCTCATTTCTAAAATATATAGAGAATTAAGACAAATTTATAAGAACACAAGCCATTCCCCAATTGATAAATGGTCAAAGGAGATGAACAGACAGTTCTCAGATGAAGAAATTAAAGCCATCTATAGTCATATGAAAAAATGCTCTAAATCATTATTGATTAGAGAAATGCAAATCAAAACAACTCTGAGGTACCACATCACACCTATCAGATTGGCCAACATGACAAAACAGGAAAATGATAAATGTTGGAGAGATGTGGGAAAATTGGAACTAATACATTGTTGGTGGAGTTGTGAAATGATCCAACCATTTTGGAGAACAATTTGGAACTATGCCCAAAGGGCTACAAAAATATGCATACCCTTTGATCCAGCAATAGCACTTCTAGGGCTATATCCCAAAGAGATCAAACAAATGGGAAAAGGAGCCACATGTACAAAAATATTCATAGCAGCTCTTTTTATGGTGGCAAAGAATTGGAAATGGAGACGATGCCCATCAATTGGGGAATGGCTGAGCAAGTTGTGGTATATGAATGTAATGGAATACTATTGTGTTATAAGAAATGATGAACAGGCTGACTTCAGAAAAACCTGGAAAGACTTATATGATCTGATGCTGAGTGAAGTGAGCAGAACCCAGAGGACTTTGTATACAATAGCAGCCACGTTATGCAATGACTAAGAATGTTAAACTGAACCCTCCTCAGCCTTACGAGGATCTAAGACACCTCGGGATGGAAAATGCTGTCCACATCCAAAGAACTATGGAAGTGGAATCGCTCTCACTTATTTTTAACTTAAATTGAATTTTGTTTCATCTTTCTGATGGTTCCTCCTATTGGTTTTAAGTTTTACTTACAACTTCACTAATGTGAAAATATGTTTAATGGGTATGTAAATGTAAAGCAATATGTCAGATTGTGTGCCATCTTGGGGAGGGTGGGGGGGAGAAAAAGGGAGAAAAAATTTTCAACTCAAAAGCTTATGAAAAAAATTAAATAAAAAAACTGCTAATAATTCATTGCATGTATTTGGCTTTAAAATGAATTATCAGAATAACTTACTGCTTGGGAAAAGTAGAACAGACTTATAAATTCTGTCCATCTGGGAAGTTCTTTGGGGACCAACCAAGTGCTTTGGGAACTTCTGTTTAGGCAAGGTGATAAAATCTTAGCAGCCCTGGGAAAGAAGTTGTTTAAAGAAGAGATTGTCTAATTCTAAAGTAACGAAGTGCTTTCTAGGGCTATATCCTAAAGAGATCAAATAAATGGGAAAAGGAGCCACATGTACAAAAATATTCATATCAGCTCTTTTAGTGGTGGCAAGGAATTGGAAATTGAGAGGATGCTCATCAATTGGGGAATGGCTGAGCAAGTTGTGGTATATGAATGTAATGGAATACTGTTGTGCTATAAGAAATGATGAACAGGCTGACTTCAGAAAAACCTGGAAAGACTTATATGATCTGATGCTGAGTAAAGTGAGCAGAACCAAGAGGACTTTGTACACAATAACAGCCACGTTATGCAATGACTAAGATTGTGCCATCTTGGGGAGGGTGGGAGGGAGGAAGGAGGAGAAAAATTTTCAACTCAAAAGCATATGGAAGTGCGTGTTGATAAATCAATATAAATTGATAAAATTTAAAAAAAATAAAGTAATGAAGTGCTTTACTGAGTAATTAAGAACTTTAGGAGCCAAAGTAGGGTTAAGGGAGGGGAAACTTACAAGTTTCTTCCTCATATACAAGTTTTATGAGAATGTATTTGGCCACTGGTTATTAAACTCATGAAATTCCACCTAGAGTAATACGTTTGGGATTTATGTCTTTGACCCAACTCTGACTTAACTGATTCCAGGTATAAGACTACAAAGAGAGAAAATTCCCCTGTAATGATAGAGGGCTTCCAACCATTGCTAATGAAAAGACCAGGGCAGCAGAGAAACTTTGAAGTTCTAAGACAGGAGTCAAGAGAAAGACAATAAAGAGAAATATAACTAAAAAATCATTAAAGACAAAAACAAGGAAAAACTGCTCACATTCTAGTAGGGGGAAATGATACCTATTCCCTCCAAAACCTGTCATCATCAGGGGTGACAAAAGTAATTAGTAGAGGGTCTGGGAGTGGATCCATTATGTCTTGATGATCTGAAAAGAATAGAGAGGAAAGAAGGACACAGTGGAAAGGGAAGGATAGGGAAAGTTAACCCTAACTCCTGCTGTGGATTTATGGTTGTTCATTGGACTGATCTGTTTCCCTACAGTATAAACTCTTCTCGTTCTGCTCTCTTTTCTCTATATCAGTTCAGACAATTCTCTCCAGGTTCTCTGACACTGTGCCTTTCAACATTCTTATGGCCCCACAACTGACTCCATTTGATGCTATACTAATTGTTCTTTTTTATTATTATTTTATTATTATTTTGCTTTCTGGTGAGGCAATCAGGGTTGACTTGCCCAGGGTCACACAGCTAGTAAGTGTCAAGTGTCTGAAGCTGAATTTGAACTCATGTCCTCTTGACTTCAAGGCTGGAGCTCTATCCACTGAGCCACCTGTCCATCTCTAAAAAGGTAAAGGAAATAGATTGTCCTGTGACAATCATGGGGATTGGGGAGGGGAAGGAAGGCTGGAAGGTCCTCTTTTGTAGTCATTGCTGGTAAGATTCTTGCCAGAATCCTCCTTGAAAGGCTAATCCTTCACCTAGAACATGCTCATCTACCTGACAGCCATTGTGACTTCAGAAAGGACCAAGGAACACTGGATATGGTGTTTGCTGCCTGACAATTGCAGGAGAAATGTCAAGAGCAGAGTAGAGATGTGTATACAATGTGTGTAGATACGACTAAGTCCTTCAGTACTGTCTGTCATGAGGGCTTATGGAAAATTATGTCAAAATTTGGTTGCCTAGAGAAGTTCATCAGTATTGTTTGCCAATTTCATGATGACATGCTTGTGCAGGGATGATACCCTCAAGCTTTCCCAGTCACCAATGGAGTGAAACAAGGATGTGAGCTTGCTCTCATCCTTTTTAGCATGATGTTTTCAGCCATATCATCAAACAACTTCAATGAGGATGAATATGGCATTAAGATCAGCTAACACATTGATGGTAAATTTTTCAACTTGAAGACGCTACAAGAGAAGACCAAACTGGAGGAAGTGTTGAGGCATGATTTTCTCTTTGCATGTGATTATACACTCCATGCAGCCTCTGAAGCTGAGATGTAACAAACCATGGATCAATAATCTGCTCCTCCTGCTAATTTAGCCTAATAATTAACACCAAGAAAACACAGGTGCTCTATCAGCCACTACCACACCATCCATATGTGGAACCATTGGTTACAGCAAATGGAGAAGCCTTGAATGTCAGGGAGAAGTTCATTTTCTTTGGTAGTGTACTTTCCAAGGATGTAC